CCCACGGAGGTCCCTCCCACCCCCTACTATTCTGTGATTCTGTGATAAACAGGGAATAGAGGAGGCAATACAAGCTCCCAGAGCAGTAACAGCCACAAATTGACTTCGATGCATCTGTCTGCAACACAGCTTTTAGCACGCGGATTACAAACCGTCCATGCACCGACCTCCGCTGTGTCGAGACAGGTCTGGAAGGACCACGCCGAAGTTATTCGTCCCTTCGTGGACGATGGGATGTTTGGGAATGCCCACGGGTGGAGACGGAGCCTGAGTGTTTTTCGAGGATGATGTTCTTTCTGCGGAACAGTTGACACAACGTACATCAGCTCAGGGACTGGGTAAGAAAACGCTGCTCGTTGCCTCTCACAACACGCTCACTCCACCAGATCGAGGACGAACGCCCTGGCTCCAGATCCCAAGCTAAACAGGCAGGACAGCAGTCAGGCAGCTTCCTCAGGGGAGCGAGAGAGGAGACTTCCCCAGGGCCTCCCGCGCTGCGGGTAAGGAACTGTTCACCTGCAGCACCGCGCGTCGTGGTGACCACTGGCTCCTGCCTGGGTTTCAAAGCCCTCCCTCGTCACAAAAACCACAACAGGTGGGGAGAATCGCACACCGAAATCCATGTCCAGAGAAAGAGGTTTAATAAAAACTGGGTTTGGCCACAGCTGGACCCAGGAGATTGGGCGGAGCGAACCTTTGGCCGGTGGCGGTAGGTACGTATCACGAATTCACAGATCTCCCAAATACATTACATTCTTCGTAAAACTTTCAGCTATCTGGCTCTTGTACTTCAGGATGAAAAATATCTGATTGCTTGCACGCTTAGGGGTACAGCCACCAGTGCCCAAGTTTGATTTAGAAACGTCCTTTTGCTTGTTGGGCGTCTGCCTGCAGCTACCAGAGCATCCGGCTTCTGGTCAGCCGAGAGCTTTTCACCGAGCTGTCCGCAAAGCGAACCAGAAGCGGCTTCCCTGGTGTCTGAAAACTCGCTGGCGCAGAGAGTTTCTTTTGCTACACAAGGACAGGCTGCTCCCTGGCTTAGCTCCTTTAAGCAAGAGGAGCCTTACGTTATAAATCTTAATAATCATCGCAAAAATAATATTATCAAGCTTTTAATAGCTTCTCCTTACCAACAGCCGTGGTAACGCTCAGGAAAGTTTGCCCTAAAGCTACTTTAGCTAGTAGAGGCTGCTCTTTAGCAACTAAATTGCAGAACATTTCACATATGGCTTAGCAGACAACATACAGTCCATGTAACTGAAATAAATGTCCTCCTGAAAGCCGAGGACACAGGGAACGTTGCGCTGCACCTACCTTTGCTGGTGCGAAATGTCAGCATAGCGGGCTGGCCTTCGCCGGCAGCACTCCTCGCCACCATTAGAACTTCATACAGGCTGGAAGGCTCCAGCTCGGTGAGCCGCAGCTCGTTCTCGCTGCCAGGGACACGCACCGTGTGCCAGCTTCCCACCGCGCCGACGCCGTCGTCCAGCTGCACGGGACGGGGAGAGAAAGCTCGGCATGAGCAGAGAACTGCCTAGAACCCAACGTCACGCTCCGAGCCCTCGTCGTCTTCACACACAAGCACCCACAGGACCTCTGCCGCTTGCCAAAACTCCTCATGCTTTCCTCTTTCTACCTGTGGTTTGTCTCCAAGTGGTTCTGCCACAAATCAGCCATTTGGCAGCTACCTCCACGGTGCTCCTTCGCCAGACTTGACTTATCTTCCCTCTCCGTACACAAACATGCGTTTCTTTTTGGAAAAAAGCCGTCATTTTCACTTGTGGCTAAAACTAGCAAGACACCAACTGATTCTAAAGACTTCAATCAGCCTTTAGCTGGCAGTGCGTGTGACATTAAAGGGCTGCACCCAGCACCCTAATGAGAAAGATCTGTTCCCTGAACTATCCCAGCTTTTCCTCTACTTAAGCGTTTTAAAATATTTATTGGCTAAAACGGGCAACAAAAAGTATGTCTTAGTTACTTCTCGAGGCTGGAAAAAAAATCAGCAGGGAGACCAAAGATTTGGGTTTTATTAATGCATGCTTCCTTTTCTTTTTTTTGTAAAAAAAAAAAATAAAAGAGCATTTTTTAATTTAACAGTCAAATCACCAGCTCCATTTAAGAAAGGAAAGAGATTTGGGGTTAATGCTTGACCCTTGCATGAAAACATTACCCCAAAGCCCAAAGGAAAAGACAAAGATTCCACCAAAAATAAACTACTAAACAACATAAGACTTTAATAAAACAGGGAAGGCAGCTCTAAATGCTGTGGATTATCAAAGGTTATGCCAGAGGTCTTTGTTCAAGTATTTTCTGCTGAAGCAACCACTCTTCAGAGACTTTTATTCCCCCAACTTTGTTTTTTTCTCTTTAAAAGAGGGAAATCAATAAAATAATTTAACGACACAGAGAGGACACACCCTACAAGAACACAGTGAACTCCCCACCGAGAAACGCACGAGTGAGCACATTTAATGTAGAAAGGATTGTTGGGAGGGAAGGGTAAGCACCAAAGAGGTCAAAAAAGCATTCAAAGCTTCCAGTGCTGACGTGAACCAGCCACCTTTGGATGAGAAATTGTATCAACAGACTTTGGCACTAGGCTTTCAGGAACTAACAGGTCAAAAATCTAAGCGTTCCCTCCAGGCTAAGACAAGATCAGGATGTAGGGGATTAAAAAGCTTACGCAAAATAAACCAAACAGCTTTGCCATGCAGAAAACTGTTTGCGCGGCAGAACCGGCACGGGCATTGCTTGGTTCCGATTTTAATCCAGACCTCGCTGCTGGGACACCAGTTTTCAGGACATCTGCTTAGGAAGTCGCAGTTCACCTTCGTATTTGGTAACTTGACTTTCACAGCGTCTCTTTGGGACGCAGAGCAGCAAGGCCTTTGACGTATTAGGCTTATCCTCAGCTTCCCTTCCGATCTCAAGCGCACCCACCAGACTCCAGCTCTCAGCTTCGTGCATTTTTCACGTCGCTGGAGTCGGGCACGATACGCCCTGGAGCCTCGTTCCCCGTAACGATACGTAAAGGAAATCAAAGCTCAGGCTGTGCTGAATAAATCTCACTTAAAACTAGGTAGAACAGCATACTGGTGACCAACTGTAGTCATCCCTAAAACGAGCTGCTGGCGTGGCCACGGTAACATCATGGCCCAACTATATTTTACATTCTGTTCTCTCCAGCCCGACACCACGTTCTGGTTAACGCCAGCACGGCAACAGTTCTCAGCTCCTCGAGCAACCCGAAGCAACGCAACCCGTCCGCCGCGGTGCACCGCTTCGAGGCGACGGAGCAACGTTACCTTGCGGTATTTGACGAAATAGGCGTTGATGGGCAAGCCCCCGTCCCTCCCCGACCGCCACACCAGGTTGTACACGTCCGGCTTCAGCGTCTGCGGGGGGCTCAGGATGATGGGGGCTTCGGGGGGAGCGGCGGCATTCGAGGGCTTTTCCGTCGCAGCTGCATCCGAACGCAGTTTGGGCGGAGGCGAGCTCGCAGACGGTTTTTCTGCACCAAAATCGCCCTCGCTTTCATCGCTCTGGGCCATCTCCACGGGAGCCATTTCTTCCGCTTTCGGGTCAGATTCTAGGGGAACTGTAAAGGGAGGAGTCTGGTTACATCTCCAAGATGATGTAGGTTTGCCCTGCACGGAGGGGACACTAAATCATCTAAGAGCATCATTTCCAAACAAACCCTGCTGCAAAAAGCCAGCTCAAGGGATGCCCGCGCAGACCTGGGGCCAAGCTGCGCTCTCGCGCGCCGGCTTTTCTTCCAGAGCACAACAGTGGCGTTTTTGGTTTGGTTTTTGAGGGGAGGTTGAGGATTTTTGGTTTTTTTACACAGCAGCAAAGAGAGAAAACCTGAAACATGGCATCCACAGGCATGGTTTGATTAGTATCTCCGATAAATTAAGTAGCGGCAATGCATGTTAAATGAAGAAATAAACAAAAAATACAGCTACACTTGCGACACAAACGGTGCAATTTTAAATTAATTGCAGTTGTACAAGGAACTTTTCATGGCCTGAACTGGCGTGCACACAAGAGGACATTCTCCCACCTCAGTTTCTGAGGTTTCAGCTGTAATTTCCATCAGCTTTGAAAGCTGCACGACTGGACCGCTTCATTCGAAAATTTATGCTGGGAATAAACTCAGTTTACAGGCAGATCTAAACGTGCAACTTAACACCAGCGCATTTCTAGAAACCCTACTCCAGCCTCCTCCATCCTATTTACTTTGCCTGGTACGAAGAAAAAAATATATCTAATCTCAGTGGCTCGAAAGAGGCCGTGAGACAAGAAAAACGACGCGGGGCTCGTCAGCATTCCAGGCAGGGGAGGGGTGGCAGGTTGGACATCTGAGATTATCCAGGAGAAGTAAACGTCAGCGCTTAAAACGAGAACGTTTGGGAACCAGCGCAGCTCCTCCAGGTCGCAGGCTGCAGCGCCGGGACCGCCAGATGTTCTTAGCCCTGTCCGTCCTTTCAGATTTGTGTAGGTTTACGTTACGTGCCGGGGTCTGGAAGGGGAAGGGAACGAAGGGAACTTGGTTTACAAAACAAACAAATTCCTTGGTAATGTAAAGCCCAGGCAGCGTTCGCCTGGCTGACTTCGGATTCCTCCAAACCTCCATTAAAATACCAGCAGCAAGTGTGGCTGCTATTTTTGGCCGCTTTTTAAAAAGCCGGGAAGGAAAGTTCTCTTTTCAAATTGAAGACACGCTCTCAGCAAGCATCCCGTGTTTGCTTCTTCCAATTTATTTAGCAATGCCACAAAACCGGGAGACGGGAAGAAGGGAACAAGGCGGGGAGGACGTCCCCAGAGCCAGATGGAGCTTGCTGAAGACGTCAGACGCCCCCAGAACAATCTCCAAGCGAAAGGGCATCCGCTACCGTCAGCGAAGCGGCGGGGAGGGGAGAAAAAAAAAGGACTCTGGGGTTTGGAGCACAGGCTGCGGTTTCGGCTGGTGACAGGAGGCCTGCAGTCAGCGCTGGGTTTCTTGCTGCGAGAGGGGAGTCGTCGACAACTGGCGAGGAGGTTGTATTTTTGCTTTGGAAAACAACCCCCGGGGTAACAATTTCCATTAAGCAATTCGGGTCTGAGCTCTTTTTGCGAAGTTCCTGGCATAATTGCTACCCATATAAACCAGACCTCTCTTTGCCGCTGTGTCATTATGCAGCTTTTTTTGGCTGTTCCTTCCAGTGCCATCCCTTTCCCCTCAGCCACCGAGGTTTACTCTTCTTCCTTGGCTTCCCAACCCCACTGCGAAACGTGAGCAGCGCCGAGCCGGGTCAGGCTGCATGCGCCCCAAACCCTGCCTTGGCCAGCAACCAGAGAAGGACCAAACGTCCCGAATTTGGGCGTTCAAAGAACGCATCCGTAGCTTTTACTCGCACTCTCCGTGACACCCAGTGTTTTCCAGCTCGCTACCGCTTCTCCCCTTCGGCAGCGCCCACCTTTCCAGCCTCTCCTCCCGCAGCAAGCATTCCACACCCCCACAAACCCCCTTTGCCGCATTTCACGGCGCCTTTCCTTGTTCTTCTCCGCCCTTCTTGAAGCAGGGGTGCGAATGCCCTGGGTCTGCACGGCGGCAGAGCGACCTTTGCGTTTTGCCTCCGCTGCGCAAACAGGTCGCCTTCCCAGGCGTTGCTTCCCCGCTTCCGAAGCAACCGGTGGATCCTCCCACCTTAGGAGCTCCCCGAGCACCTCAGCACAGGCTGGGAAAGCGCTCTGAAAACCCGAACGTGGCGGAGCAGCGAGGTCACCCACGCCCGACGAGGCTCCCACATCGCCCTACGGCTTCTAGAAAAGCCAGCTTCAGCCTGCTCTCCGCCGCATCACCTACCCACCCACAATAAACACCACTCCTTCCCGTGTTTTACACTAACGTGCCTGCTCCTCAGGCTTCCCGGGGTGGTTTTTTTCTCCTTAGATGAAGTTATTTTGGAGAATTAACCCTGTGTTTAGCAGCTCTGGGAAGCTGCTGCCCTGCAAGCAAACGCCCCGACTGTCTAAAAAAGACTTCCAATAAGCGCCATGGGTATAGGATCCTAAGGCTATCGTCTTACATTTTGGTGGTTTCTCACTATGATGGTGGCTTAAGCTGCCCTGCCCGCTTTTAAGACCATGCAATGAATCACGTCGTGGACTAGATCCAGCAGAAAGAAAGAAAGGAAGGAAGGAGGGAAGAAAGAGAGAGAGAGAAAGAGAGAGAGAAAGAGAGAGAGAAAGAGAGAGAGAAAGAGAGAGAGAAAGAGAGAGAGAAAGAGAGAGAGAAAGAGAGAGAGAGAGAGAGAGA